TTCAGTTTACTTAAACATCTATGTTAAGCTGAATTGACACAATCTACATTGTAAAAGCTCTAGCAATAAATTAATGAATTGAAATAAACATAAAACACACCAGTGGCCCTATAGGCTATGGCCTTTAAAGTCAGAATAAAATCAAAATATAGAGCAAAGTTATGAGCACTTAAAGAAGTTATTAGCACTTGTTATAGGTGATGTATTTGTTCACATAAAAGTGCAGTAGGTGATTGTCTTCAGAAACATTTTTGTTGTGCTGGTTGAAAGTCTCTTCACATTCCATTAGTAATAATTAAAGTAAATGATCTAAATGTATTTATATGTATTTTGATCTTCTGGGTAACGCATAAAACTAAAAAATGTTCATCCAATTAAATATTGTCGGGCCGACAATTCCCATAATTCTGAATTCCCATAATTCTGAAAAGTAGCCCAAACTGTCTGTCAACAAATGTAGATTTGAACAACTGCACACACACCATTCACATAGATCTGCTGATGCACATTATCATGCAGTCGCGTGGACACGAGTGACAGTGGTAAAAACAAATTTAAAATTCTAAGTCAATATAGGAGTTCCTTTTGCATGCTGGAGGAAGAATGACACCATGGCTGAATTATTTATTTTAGACAAGTAATGTTCTGTTTTAAAACTATTTTAGTCACGCAAAGCTGATGTAGATTTTGTTGTTATGAATGGGTTATATGCACAGACGTGTTGTTCAGCAACTGAAATCTCCCAGTAAAAGATTGACGTGACTATTTTTTAGTTATATTCGGGAGCTTTTACATCATCGATATCGTAGAATTTTGTTTAGGTTAACAACAAAACATGAGTTAATAGCGCTATTCTGCCTAATTGTTAGCCTGCATTACTGAGGTGAAGTTTCATTTACATTGGTTCATTTTTTAACAACCTGTGATGCGCTCTCTATATTGTTTACCGCTACTCTAAATATTCAGTCTGAAATAGCATGCAAGTATGGCTTAGTAATAAGTGTAATTCCTGCACACCGCCGAAAAAGCCTGTGAGAGAGTGAGCCTGATGAGTGAGACTGATGGGAGAGTGATGACAAATTTTCCTTGCTAACTACATAACTGAAAATGTGCTATATAAACGTTCAGAATTGTAGTATTATAGAGTACTATAAAGTTTTTCTAACTGGCGAACGACATGATTTAGTGGGTCTCTGTCATTTTTATTGTGCACGTTCGTGATTTCAAGAGGCGTGGCTTTGGATGATGAAGATATTATACTAACTGGTAAGCATTTAGGCAGATTACCTACTGAACCTTCAAGTAATAATAAAAAATAATTTGTCCACATAATCTTTTATCAAATATCAAAACCTTTCCACCAGATTCATAAACATCTTGCAAATAGCCTCATGAGAAGAGACAACAGAGCATCACATCTTTACATAGATACATAGATTTGCAGCAGACAGACTGAATAGACCTGGCAATGTGCAAAAAACTAATAGAAGTGTTGCCCTCCAAATATTTTATCGAACATCAAAATCTTCCCTCTCAAATTGACTTCAATGGTCACATGGTCACATGAAATGCCTTTTGAGAAGGGCTATAAGGCCTTGTCTTGCTTATTCTCTGCGTTCATCCATTGGTCAGTCTTCCTCCATTTTGTAAGCAACACCCCTCTTCTAACATTCCAATCAGTTCTTAAAGATAAAATAATGTTGGGAGTGATGTAATTGAGGCTAGCAGGGGGTGCTGAACCCTCTACTGGCTCATCATTTGAGGCAAAAAAAAAGTTTAAAAAGCTTGAAAACACTCCAACAGCCCTTTGCTGCAGTAGGCAGGGTTGTAAATGTGTCACCCTGCTCGTATGTACCCCTATATAAAACAATGCCAGCTGAGAGAGAACAGTTTCATAAACATTTGGCAAACAGCCTTCAACATGAGAAGAAACACAGCAGAGCATCACAACTTTACACAGTTTTCTATCTGAAGTGGACAGACTGAATGGCGCTGCTGGTGTGCAAAAAATAAAAATAAACTAACAGAAAAGATCTTTTCCAGAGATTCCAAAGATTCTTGTCTAGAGTGTCACCCCCGCCAAGCCTTTAAAAACTTTCACCAAACGATTGTACATGTGTGGATACATATGCACCAGCTCTTCTACTCGACTCTTATTGTCGAGTCATGTGGCTAATGTTGTTGTTTTGGATGCCATTCTCCTGTCTGATCCATGTGGCAACATCAAAAGCTTTTGGACGAAAGATCAAGGTATTATAATTAAATTCAAAAACATAAATAAGAAAATAAAAACTTTGAGAAATTAATCGGGTGGAATAAATCACACTTCAAAAGGCAGTGGAGTATCAAAACACACCCACTGATTCCAAAATCCCAAATGGACCACTGGAAGCTCAAAGAGTTTAATAGCCAATCTGAACTCCTCCAAATGTGCTTTGTTGAGCTGTTTCAAACAGCCTAAACAAACTCAAAAAGAACTTTGTTTTGGCTGGCTTTTATTCAAATTTTGTTTATATGACTGTAAAGTGCTTTGGGCGTATGGCGATACACATTAAAATGTGCTATATAAATACATTGCTTCCTTCCGTTAACATGCTTGCTAATGTGCCCAAATCCCAGTTTCTGGAAATGCCAGTTCAAATTCCACTTAGAACAGGATGAATAGAATCTGTTTTTTATTGATGGCATGCCACAGAGTGTAACCTAGGCCATCTAGAAAGAGCTGTAAAAAAGTAACCCTCACTGCCCTGGCCTAACAAATATTATTAACAGTCTAACAGCTGGTTTAAATCACACTTGTTTTGGTGCAAGCACATCCAGAGGGGTTACGCTGAAGGTGAGACATAGATAGACGTGAGGTTTACGGGGGCTTAGTTTAACAAAGGCCAGGCTAGTGCCACTACAGGTTAACCTCAAGAAGTGCACACTGTAACATCCTTGTTAGTGTGTTAACCACCCATGCCAGAGCTGCAAATAAAAATTTCACTTGTGGCGGTGACAGAATAACAAGAGCACATTTTTTTACAACCATGCACACAATTGTTTCTGCACTGCTTGGTTTGTTGACAAGGGGGCACTATTTTAATGATCTAGGCGCAAAATCTAAATCGCATGGCACAAAGGCAATAGGGCGTGTTCAAAACCACTTTAGCTATTTTAAGGACGTAAAAATGCGGTTTGCGCTCTGGCGCATGGTCTAACAGGGTTGTGTTTATTCACTTAATGAGTTATGGGTAGGGCCAGATGAAATCTGCGGACATTTTTTGCTATTTCTGCGCAGAATTTGGTAAAAATCTGCGAATTCATGCAGAATTATTTTGTGAGTATCATAACTAGAACTTTAATATATGAAGTAAAAAGTAATACCTTTTTCACTTTTATATAATGTTTAAAATGGATATTCATCTAGATCCACTTTATTTGGTAAACAAAGCAAGTCTCTCAAATAATATATCTACTGAAAGACAGAAAATATTACTTTACACACTAGATTGTAAATAAATCATATAGATATTTTCATATTAGTCAATTAGTCAATCGATTCCGTTTGGGCCTAGTTATGGGTGTGTTTTGAGCATAACATGCATTAAACCAATCAGAGTCTCATCTCCAATTCCCTTTAAGAGTAAGTTGTGTCACACCATGGCACATTTGCTATTTACATGGCGGACTTTGCAAGTAGAAAAACTTAATGCTTCACTAGTGAAAAAACAGACCATCTGCAGCGCAAGGATAAAGAATAAGCCTCCTCCATTCAGCCTTTTCACTTTCTCTTTACTACACTTTTACTCCAGAGCAAGGATAAAGAATGAGCCTCCTTCATTCGGCCTTTTCACTTTCTCTTTACTACACTTTTACTCCAGAGCAAGGATAAAGAATGAGCCTCCTTCATTCGGCCTTTTCACTTTCTCTTTACTTCACTTTTACTCTTTACTGCTTTACTTTTGTGGATTAGGAAACAGTGGAAGCTTACTTCACTAAAGATATCCATTCATTAGCCTAAATATTTAATTTCATTCATTAAACACAAAGATGTTTAAAAACTATTTCCTAATTCAGTTCTAATTTCCAGCAATCGAATAAATGAACAATAATAATGAAGTGTGGTCAAAAATCCACACACGTCCTATTCTTATGCCCCATATAGTGACGCATATATACGTCTCCAAAACCCGACAGATGGATAAATCTAAACTTGTTTTTATTAAAACAAATATAAATATAAATATACATATAATAAATAATACTGCAAATAATAATAAACTTTATGCAAATGGCCATGAATAAACTGAAAAAGCCCCCTGGAGATGAAGAAGGCCTTTAGACCAGCATTTCAGTTGGTCAATGGCGCAGTCTATTTAAGATCCTCAAAATAGAAATGCGCCAACAATGTGCTTTAAACTTCCTTTTTAGACCGCCACACCCATAAGCCCATAAAGTGGTGCAAATGGATTTATTATTTAAATAATTTGGTGCAACATGTGAAAATCAGGGTTGTGCTGGTCGCAAAATATCAACAAATCGTGCCAAATACGTCTTGCGCCTTAATTGCATCTTATATGATAGGGCCCAAGGTGTCAATATTGTATATAATTGTAAATAATAAAGACAGAACATTAACAAAAATGACTGAAGACAGACAAAACAACAAATGCTCACACTAATGAGAGTTTGTGCAAATATTTAAAATTGTATAAAAACTTTTTTTTATCTATATTTTAAGTATAAACCTTTTTGCATGACAAATCAGTGTATGAAAAAACTTTTTTGAAGATTATCCTGGCCTTTATTTTAAGTATAATGGAATTCATACGGAAACTAGCACATTTTTTTTTTAAATTACTTTAAATGTAATCCATATGATTACTATAATAATATAGAAGATCTTAAACAATGTACCCCTGCATACCAGCAAATTCCACCACTGCCAACAGCAAAGAAAACTTCAGAAACAGTTAGAGATCTCATTTTTCTTTCTTTTTAGTCTTAAACAAGCTTACCTGCATCTCTTTTGCTAGCTCGTCCTCCTCCCTCTCGACCCTTCTTCAGAACTGCCTTAAACATGGCTCAATTCCCACCTTCGATCTGTGAAGAACTGCAGTCCTTTGTTCCTGCAGAGGCACAAAATTATCGAAGAAAAGGCATGTTTAGAAAAAACAATGCATGGCAACCATTGAAAAGAAAGAAGATCTGGACAATACCACGATTACTTTCGGACAAGCAATTAAAACAAGTCGCCATGAACTTGACAACACAATGGAAAACAAAACTCCCCATTCATTTTCTGTACGTGCGTGTTGCCACCTCGTGACGGGAGGAATAGGTTGATGAAATTCCCACATTCCACGTCTAATTAACACTCTGCTGCCTGGTCTTATAGGCATATAAACAAATAAATAAAGAAACAGAGAGTGCCAGCGTTACCCACACACTGTAAACTGTTGCACGCCAGTCACGCAATCCATTAAATGGGAAATAAAAATACATTTAAGAGCGCAAACTAAGAAGATCCTAGTAGGCAAGAAAAGGTCAGTTGCTATAAACCGCTTGAAATAAGAAGGGAACTAGTGTGCCACTGTCCTTCATAACTCCATTGCATGTGTCCACACGGCAGCTGTCCACACTAACACTTCCCTCAGACAATGAGAGGAAATACCAGCCCGTATAGCAAAGCTCCACTTGATTCTAAAATAGCAGAATGGATCTGTCCACTTATCTTAGTTTCCAGGCTTGCAAGCTGGTCTCACTGTGACAGAGGCTGCTAACAGGCTGTTAGAAATCTGCTAACAGGGAGACACTACAGTAGTCAAAATTTGAAGTGGAGCAAAGTTTTTCAGAATGGGGTACATCATGTAATCGAAAAAAGATTGCGATGTCGATTCGGCCCTACACACGATCTTAATTCAGCTTTTCAATGATTCAGCCAATATTATTTTCAAGGTCAGAAGAGAAGGTGGTCGCATCAAGGCTTCACACTTTTTTATATATGGTGATCACCAACACGGACACCTCTGAATGGTCTTAAAAGTGTCACATACTGTATTTATGAGGTATAATTTACCCAAAAATGTAATTTCTGTCTTAATGTAATGACGTACTCACAGACGCCAAACTTGTTTATTACCAATAGCATGTGTGCGTGTCCGCAAATGATGTCTACATTACTGAACAGAACCTGCATAGGCTGTGAATAACAGGTAATAAAGTTGTAAATAACATTCAGTTTGTTACACAGATCGATCGTTTAAGAGCAGTGCAGGAAGTATGATTTGCATGTATTTTATTTTTTTTTCTCAAAGTGACGGCAGCCATGAAATGAGCGCACTCAGCAGTGAAAGTGAAACCGAAAGCATGCACATTGTTTAAACAAGCACAAACTTTTTCTCACAAAGTGCCAAAATCCAAACTTCATTGAGGCTAGTGGGTTGAAGTTAACTATAGTTTTCATGTATGATTTCCTAATATATTAAATATTATTTAAAAATCACTAGAAAACCTTGCTTTATATTAACTATACAGTATATTTTGTACATTTTATAATGAACCTATTAAAAAAAACACTCATTTAAATCTCATTTGTTGTGTTAAATCTTAAGTGTTGTCCTTGACTTGCTCACCAATGTATTCTGCATCATTCTTTATCAGTTGAGTATTTACATTTTGTGCTTATATTTACATTTTTAAAAAATCAGATTCAATTACAACATTTAATCGAAACATTTCATTTCAGTTTGCTTAATGCTGTAGTTCAGTAATAAAACAAACAAACAAACAAAAGAGTGTCATGTCAAATAAAAACTATGATGCCTGAGTTAAAGGCATTTGCCCCCATCATTATCCCTCTTTTCTCAGATGGGATGGTGGGCCAAATCAAAGGTTACATTGGGCCAACTTTTTACCATCTATTTGAGAAATAAAAATAATAATAGCCTACTCATATTAACACTTGTTTTACATCACCTTACATATCTATTATTTTACAGAAGTGTGAGAAAATCATGATCTTGATTTTAAGCAACAAAAAACAAAAAAATTGTGATTCTCATTTTAGCCAGAATCGAGCAGCCCTTGGTATATGCACAAATAGTTTTTTCAGCCAACGATAAAATTCCGGTGAAAGATCAATGTGACTTTTTTCAATTTCATAAGATTACTTTCACAGCATTGATGTTGTAATGTAATTATTACCCAATCAGTTAAACAGACTTAAGCATTCATTTAGTTGTTCAAGAATAAAACAAGACGTAAGATCGTGTAAATGCAAGAGCAGTCAGTAGCAGCAGGCTAACACAGCTCCATTGAATACACTGGGGTAAAATAAATTTCCATTTTTTAAGACATAGCGATAGAAATGTAGTTTAATGCAGTGCTTCTTGACTGGTCTGAGACACACTTTTATCAAATATCAATCAGGTAGTAAGGATTACTAATTTTTAATGAAAACAGATCTTAAATGTGGCAATTTTGTAATAACATGACAGTAGAAAGTGCTAGAACTGGCTGACTGAAAATTAAAGGCCTGTGTGTATGTACCTCATTGCCTAAGACAAGAATGGTTGTTGTTCAATAGTTTTAGGATAACCTTGATGAGAGGTTTTGATCCTCTTCAATTGTTGACTACTATAGTAAATTCCAGTGTTCTGTTGGAATCCAGCTCTCAATGTCTGACTTTCTCATTGCAAATCAAAGCAAATTCCACTAGAAGACTGACAGTGAATTTCACTGTAGGACATTTCAATATGAATTACACTAAAGACATACTGAATCTGAAGTAGCAATTGATTTTTCCTGCAATATTTTAACATCCACTCGTTTTTTTGCCAGGTTTTTTTCAGGAGTTTGCCGTTTTACATGTTTTAAGGCTGTCTTTAAGTGGTTAAAGACATACTTGCACAATATAATACATGGGTCTGTCGTATCTGTGATTTGTAAAGTAATAATCGCCCTGAAAATGACCTACCACATATTTTGCGGAACATTGAGCTGCTTTGATGAAAGATTACATGTACATATGATCGTATATATACATAGTTTAAGTATACACTTTGCAGAAAAAGAAAGCAGAAAACCAACAAAAGAACAAAAACAAAAAGAAAAAAAAAGAAAAAAAACAAAAAACAAAAACAAAAATAAAAGTTTCTTGTTTTATCCACCCAACCTGGCAAAACAATGGCTTGAACTGTATTCAAGCAAAATCACAGGCTTCAATTAATCACAGAATTCAAACTGTGTAGGGCTGGTAATCTGTACACCACAAATTTGTAAGGGTGCTTTCACACCTAGATGTCTGTTTTGGAACCTGGCGTGTTTGCCACCTTAACTTTGTTCGTATGGGCATACATGAACATTGCACTTAGATCCACGTCACAACAATTAGTCCATGACCGCCTGAATGAGGTGGTCTTGGCTAAGTTGAAACAAACTATGCATAGCTAATAGCCCAATTAATAATCTACAATTATGAACATAATTTTGCGTAGCTTGTCAGTAAATTACAACTATGTATATTAAATGTTGTTTCACCTGAAAGCACTCGCTGGAGACTTTGCTAACAAAATGTGCACATAACTCCCATCGATTAAAAATTTACTACTGTGAAACTGAAATATATTCAATACCACAGTTTCCAAGTTTAAACCTTCTGATAGCACACAAAACCCGCAAAAATTAGAGGACTCCAAAACCAGTTGCTGAATGGCCAGCAGAGTTTAGTATCCCAGATTGTCAGATTTCACAGTAATAGCTTAATTATTCAACCCTAATTAGACATACCTGAATTATCTAACACCAATCGTAAGACTAACTGGCTTAAACGCTTATGATATTCCACTGATACTTTATGATGTAATGCTGATTTGACTGCCAGGTAGAAATCTGTATAGAGCTTGGCTGACTTAGTTCCAAGTAAACTCTTGACTCAAGTAACCTCCTGAAAGCTAAAAGGATGAATGGAACACCCTATTTGCTTTCATTTACTGCAAGTGTGCAATTTGGGATTGGGCCACTAGAAAGTTCCAGGCAAGTGTGATGGAGCTTGTTGAAGCCAAACTCTGCAGGACATTGGCCCTCAAAGAGAAGGACTGGACGAGTCTGTAATTTGCTGCAGAAATTCCAATTATATATTATATTATTATATATTATTATACTAATATTAATTATTTGGTACAGTTACTAAACACACAAGCAAAGTCTGAATAAACTGAATAAAACTTTAAAAATACTGTACCAATAAAAATATCAATACTAAATGCTTTATATAACAGCTAGAGTAGTCAAGATTTGACCTTTCATCCTTTCTTGTCTTGAAAAACTTTTGATACACTTTAAATGTTGACTAGTACTGTATTTAAAAAGTAAAGTAAAATACTGTACACATTTACTGTGAAATCTGACAATCTGGGATATTAATTAGTAACTTTAGGACTAAAATGGAGCCTTTTCGCAAGAACATAATGACACGTTTAATTGTCATCAGCATCTTTTATCCTTAAAAGTTTTAAATATTTTAATTTTTTTTTAAAGTTATGCACTATTATAAATGTAATGTAATGTAATGTGTAATGTTATCGTGTATGGCTGTGCACCCAAAGTGCTTCTTATTAATGAGGGGGGTCTCTCCACTCCACCACCAGTGTGCAGCATCCACTTGGATGATGCAACAGCAGCCTCAGGACAACGACGCCAGTGTGCTCTTCACACACCAGCTATAGGTGTAGTGAAGAGACAGGGATAGAGCCAATTGAGTGGATGGGGGTGATTGGGAGGCCATGATGGTGAATTTAGCAAGAACATAAAGGATAAAGTTGTATTATATCATCTTTGCATCAAATTACAAATAAACTAATTAAAGCCGTGTTTCTAATGCACACTCTATGGGCAAGACAGTAAACGCGATGCTGTTTTCTCCTCTGGCTGTTATCAGTTTCATACTATTTATTTTCCTTTTTCTGAAAGTTTTGATAACTCGTTGAGTTTTTCCTTTTATTATTTGAGCAAATAGGAATGCAAAAAAATTGTTGTACTTCCTCATTCACTTCACTCCAAGTTTACCCAACTATGATGTCGCCTAGGAATGCACTGATCCCAATACTTAAATTGGATATCAGTTTGA